GGAGCGATATCATCCAATCAGATAAGAAATTCTGATTGCCAGCAAATATCAGAGGCCAGCAGAGAAGCATGGAAGAGTATTCCCTTTCAATGTCTACTGAAGGAAGCAACATGCCAACACCTTGGTTTAGACTTCTGACTTCCGGAACTGTGAAAAAATAAATTTGTGTTATTTAAAGCCACCCAACTTGTGATCACTTTCTATAATACCCTAGGAAATGAGAATACTCTGTGAAATAATTTATAATCTCCCCAAAGTTAGCACTCAGTACTTCTTCATGGCCCTGTGGGCTTGCTGAGGGTTGGTATACAGCAGAGGCACCTTAGCATTCTTCATGGATTTGTCATACTGCTTGGTATAGAATAACTACACCATAAGTGATGAATGAAAGGAGTCCTCTAGTCAGTAACGCCTCTAGTTGATAATTCTATCTTCCATTTATTGAGCACTCTTTGTATGTCAGATACAGTGCTAGAATTTTACATACTCTTCTCCAATAATAATTCTTCAACCCCCAACTGGGGGTCCTCTAATCCAGTCCATTTCTAATGCTAACCATTGAGTTAACACAGACCATTCAAATTAAAGTCAAAGTTCTTTATTTCTGACACTAACTACTCAGAGTGAATGCAAGTCCCACAAATAAATGGCTCAGTCCCATGAGATTGCCCCCATGTCAGATGCCAGTTGTGACCCTCAGGTATCCCCAAGTGTATAAGTCAGCTTTTCTGTCACTGTGACAAAATACCTGGCATCTACAATTTAAAGGGGAGACATTTATCTCAGCTCATGGTTTCAGAGAAGCCAGTTGATAGTTTGCTGGTCTAAGGCAGGAATGGCATGGAAGAGAGCCTGGAGAAGGAAAGCTGCTCAACCCATGGCAGGTAGGAAGCAGAGCAGGTCGGAACTGGGAACGAGAGTACCCCCTTCCAGGGCAATTGCCAGTGACCTACCTCCTCCAACAGCACATTCTCCAATAGCACATTCTGCGTGGTTGGCAGTCTCAAAGCTCTAGTCTTGTGCTTGGTCATTCTGGTTTGGGCAGTCCCTTCCTTGAAACTATGTAAGAGCTCATCATGAGTCAAATTATTAGTTAAGAGTCAATATAATGGAACAGGGTTTATTGTGAATAACAAAAGACACTTCTACCACTCCAGTAGCACATTCTGCTGTAAACTCATCAAAGAATCAAGCCACTGATAAGTAGAACGCTCCCATAATATAGTCAGCTTCCTCAAGCCCCAACTTCGAGCACAAAGACCTTAGGAGGACATTTTAGATCAAAACCATAACACAAACCTACTCACACCTGTGCCTGGCCAACATATGGTTTGTCCCTACAAGACCCAGGCAGGAGTTAGGATCTTTAGGAAGGAAGACCTGGTGGAAGATGAGTAGGCAACTGGAGGCATAGTCTCTGAGGAAGTGAGTTTTCCCTCCTGTAGGACTGAATGGGTTACCGAAAAAGCAGGCTGCAGCAGACAGCTTGGCTTCCTCAGCTTGCTTTCTTGTGTTGTTTATTGCCATGGGATCTCTTCCACATGCCCTGCTCGTGGCTCTCACATATACTCCCACCTGTGATGCCACCCCCATGTTGTGACACAGCCAGAAGTCCCGTACCATTAGTTAACTAGATCGGGCTGCCTAATTTTGGAATTCCAAGCCTCCAAAACTCTGAGCTAAATATACATTTTTTTCCATATAAAGTACCTTACCTGGCCCCCTAGTATTTTGGTATAGCAACAAAAAATAGACCAAGACATCAGTGATAAGTTTTGGGGTCCATATGATTACCTCCAAGTATGACAATTCAGTAGAAGTCTCCCAGTATCATCCCTGAGAGTCTGTGAGGGATTGGTTCCAAGATTCAATCACTGATGAGATCATTGAACTCAGAGTCCAGAAAGGCGTGGTTGGTAGTCTCAAAGCTCTAGTCTTGTGCTTGGTCATTCTGGTTTGGACAGTCCCCTCCTTGAAACTATGTAAGAGCTCATCATGAGTCAAATTATTGGTTAAGAGTCAATATAATGGAACAGGGTTCATTGTGAATAACGAAAGACACTTCTACCACTCCAGAAACTCAAAGGGGCTTTATGGCTGTGTGTCAAGAGATAGAAATAAAGACTAAATACATTTTGAATGTTATTCCATTCATTTTGTCATGAGGATTCATTGGAATATGCATGAATGCATTTTATAGAGAAAAAAAATTGAGGCCTTGCTAGCCACTGATGTTGCCTTTCCAGCTTGGTTTTCTTTCATTTACTTGTGTTTCCAAGTGAATCTACTAAAGTTGTGCCACTTAAGGATTTTTTTTTAAAGCTGTTTCTTTTTTAAAAATGTATTTAGTACAGGATCTACAGGATCTCACTACCCAGATCAGACTTGTAGAGGTCCTCCTGTTTTCAGTCTCCTAAGTGCTGGGATTACAGGTGCACACCACCACGATCAGTCTCAGTCGCTGCCTCAGTGTTCCCTGGGGGGCAGAGCTGGCATGGCATGCTGGGGATCAAACCCTGTCCCTGTGTCCTAAGCAGGCAAACCCAAAACACACTTACTCATCAGGCAGATCCTTTTTTTTTTTTTTTTTTTTGTACTGGGGATCAAACTCAGGACCTTGCGCTTGCCAGGCAGGTGCTTATACTGCTAAACCATCTTCCTGCCCCCACATACTCATCATAAAATGCCAACACCCAATTAATCTTGAATTTTGAGGTTTCAGTTTAGGAAAACAACTCATACACTGACATCTTTTGCCCTAAAAGAAAACCACAATAACAGGTGTGCCATAGGTTCACCATACCTGCTTTAGAGTTGATTTCATAGTGGTTGTGTTTATCCCGACCTCTGGCCATTTGCACCTACCTTTCCATCCTCTTTCTGTACTAATCCTCAATAGCTATTAAATTCTACCTATCCTGGCTGGGGAGATGGCTCAGTGGAATAAAGCGCTTCCCTGGCAAGCGCAAGGGCCTGAGTTCAATACCCGGTTCCGCCAAAAAAAAAAAAAAAAAAAAAAATTCTACCTATCCTATAAGGCTCAGCAAAAAGGAAAAGTAACAACAACAACAACAAAAGTCCACTGTACCCAAAGGAAAAAAAAAGAAAAGAAAAGTAACCTTTATATAGCATGTATTACTGTGGAGCTAAGTGTTTTCTATAGTGTCTCATTCAGTGTGCCCACAACTCCACAGTTTGATGGTTCCCATTTTTATTTTATTTTCACTTTAGTTTAGGTGCTTGAAAATAAGCACCTAAATTGATTGAGTTAAGATTTCAGACTCAAATTTACTTGGCTGTAAAATCACATGCTTTTTAAAGAAACCCACGACATTTCCAAATTTCCAGCATTCTGGCCCCTAAAGTTGAAGTGTAGATAAAACCTTTAATTTTTAAGAAATCGTAAAGGTTGTTGCATCTTAAGTGTTTACTGTCTTTAGTATTGAATATAGATGTTTATCAAAAAAGCCAAAATAATTATGTATCTTGTAGTCAATCTAGGAATAAGGACAGAATTATATGGCCATGGAATAGTGTATAAGGGTAGGAGTCTATAATACCCAAGAGTTTGTAGAAGAAACATTAAATGAAAAACAAGATGAACACAGGGAAAAGGAAAAGGAAATGTGCATATAGGTCTTTAAAATCACTAAAATTTATTTTAGATTGATGATTTAATTTATAAAATATTTTCCTTGAGATTGCAATTGAAAAGGACTAGAAGCTGGTAGTGCACACCTGTAGACCTACAGTTTAGAGGGAAGATCCAGAGTTCAAGGTCAGCCTACATAATAAGCAGCTTCAGCCTAAGCTACATAGAGAAACCCAACTTAAAAAAAATACAGAAAAAACTATTGGATTCTAAGTTAGTAAGTAAATGCTCTGTATTTACCCAAACTGACAGAGAGAAAATAATGATTTCTAATTCTTGATTTTTTTTTTTTTTTTTTTGGTGGTACCAGGGATTGAGTTTAGGACCTTGCATTTGCCAAACAGATTTTATGCCGCTGCACGCTGCACGATATTTCTGGCTCCCTTCAATTTTTAAATTTAGATTTAACACACAAAATAGCACATAAATTTTAAACATAAACATTTTGTTGCAACACTACAAAGTGAACATAGATTTCAGCCAGAAAACAAAATATTACTTGAATCCCAGCCCTTCTATGTGCCTCCTCTCAATTATTTTCCTTTTATTTCCTGCCACAGATAAGTAATTTCCTGAAGTCTAAAACCGTAGGTTAATTTTGCTCATCAACTTACACTCTTTTGTGTAAGCTCCTTTAAATGTATTGCTTTGTCTTTTACATTTCCATACACAATTCATTTGGAATTTTATAAAAACCCATCGCATTTGCCACCATTTTAACACAACACTGACCTCCTTTCCTGGCCTTTGATCATTGTGTTTTCAAAGTACTGTACATTTGGCACATAAAAGCGAGCTGGTCATCTTTTTTTTTTTTTTTTTTCAGAACCAGGGATTGAACTCGGGACCTTAGGCCCTTGCGTTTGCCAGGGAAGCCCTTCTTCTACTAAGCCACCTCCCCGGCCCCTGGTCATCATCATCTTTCAGTCCCACTCTTTGCCACCTGTCCTCTGCGCCAACTGAGTTTTGCTCTGTCTTTGCAGAAGTTGTTCCCTGAGAATCTAATTACGTCACTCTTCTCTGGTTGTTGAATGAAGGGCTGAATACATCTCTTCTACCGCTTTTGCTGACTCTCCAGGGGAGAGAACTTTTAAAAACTTTTTGAGGAAAATCCGGGGAAAGGTTTCCCTTCGGATCACGCTGGGGTACAATCCGGTATACTTGAAGTAATCTCCTTTTCCTCAAACCCATTTGGAAGGAGGGAGGAGGAAGAAGGGGGAGGAGGAGGGGAAGGGAAGGGGGAGGGGGAGGGGAAGGGAAGGGAAGGGGAGGAAGCGGGGCGGGAGGACGAGGAGGAGCGATCGATCAGCTCGGGGCTCGCCTCACGGCGGGAGCTCGGCTAGTGCTGTCTGGAGCGCCTCATCCCGGATGCGGAAAGCAGCTTGAAGTCCGTTGCTGCCGCTGCGGTCCGGCATCTCGGCCCGGCTTGGCGCGGGCTCTGTAGCCGCGATGGCCGAGCCTGACCCCCGCTATCCTCGCTCTTCGATCGAGGATGACTTCAACTACGGCAGCTGCGTGGCCTCGGCCAGCACGCACATCCGGATGGGTACGTGGCCGGCCGCTACCCGCGTCCCCGCCCCGGCAGCCTCCGCAGCTGCACTCCGCGTCTTTAAGTTAAAAGAAACAAAAGGTTCCTTTTCGACGAGAATAAGTTTTCTTTGTGATCTCCGTGACTTACGGACCGAGTGGCTGACTCGGTGCGTTTGCATTAAGGGGTGAAGGCGCGCTGCGAGGTTTTCCTTATTGCCCATCTCTGTAAACTTGGTCAGAGATAATGAATTTATTATTTTTTTTTCTGCAGAGCATAGAGCTTAACATACGTTGGAGTATTATTCAGGAAGCTGCCGGAAATCAAAGCTTCCTCAGTCAGTCAAAAAAGTTGCCGTGCAGTGCGCGGACGCACTGAGCATTGCGTTTAAAATGCTCAGAGTCCTGTCAGTGGGATTCGTGCCTCCGCTGCAGCTCGGCCGTCTGGTCGCAGACTCTGCCCTGGAGTTTGAGCCTTCTCCGGGCAGCCAGAAGTGGTTCCGAAAGACAAAGTGTGAAGATAGTTCTGATGCATCGAGAATCTTGCTGCCCAGCGTCTGTGCTGCTCGGCTTGAATTTTGAAACTGTTTTGGCGAGTGGGCAGACTTTTCAAAACGATTTGATTGTGCTTTAAAAAAATACGTAGCATAAAATTTACCGTTTTAACTATTTTTAAATTTATCAGTGTTAGATGTGTTCACATTGCACGCTGCACCCAATCTGCAGAACTTTTTCTTCTTGTAAGAGTGAAACTAGATACCCATTAAACAACTCCCCGTAACCTCCACCCTCCTGCCTCTAGCAACCTTCATTCTACTTTCTGTTCATGAAATGGACCATATTAAATACCTCATATAGACCAGACATAGGGGGAAATGCTTGGAATCCCTAGACTCTGGGAGGCTGAGGCAGGCAAATTCCAACCCCGCCCAGTGCAATTTATGAACCTTCTCTTTTAAAAAAGAAGCGTCATATAAATGGAACCTCTGCAGTGTTTGACTTGTCTTTGGTAACTGAATTATTTCAATTAGCATAATGTCTTTAAGGTGACTTCATGTTGCAGAATGGATCACAATTTCATTCTTTGAAGTTGAGTAATATTACTTTGTATGTATATACCAATTTCTGTTTATTCATTCCCTCATGGGTAGACGTGTTTTGCTTCTACCTCTTGGCATTTGTGGATAATGCTATTATGAATATTGATTTGCAGGTATCTATGGAAAAGCCTGCTTGACTTCATTATCTATCTATCTATCTATATATCCAGAAGTGGGATTGCGTGGTAATTTTATTTTTAATATTTTAAGTAATTGCTGTACAGTTGCACCATTTTAGAACCTTGGCCAGCAGTGTACAGTTGTTCTGATTTTTCACACCCTTGCCAACACACACTTTTCGGTGGGTGTGAAAGTCGCCATCCGAATGAGTGTGAAATGATGTCTCGCTTCAGTTTTGGTTTACACTTCCCTAATGATTAGTGGTGTTATGAGTTGTAAAACTATGCTTGTTCATCATTTGTGTATATTCTTTGGAAAAGTGATACTTCACCCCTTCAGATAATTTTTGAGAATAGGCTTAAAAGGCCATTTTAGGTTCAGCACTAAACAGGAGATAGGTACAGAGTTGTCATTCACCTGGATTTGTACCTTTGTTGTAGTCAAAGTCCGTAGTTTGCGTTTGGGATTTCTCTCAGGGTGGTATATTTTATGAGTTCTGGTAAATGTACAGTGGCACTTGTCCACCTTAATAGTATCTACAGAATTGTGGCACTGCCCTAAAAGTACTCTGCGCCTGAATACTCCTCCCTCAAAGGTGAACATGGCCTTTTATCGTCTTCGTGGTTTTCCCTTTTCCAGAATGCCATCTGGTTGGAAGCATGCAGTAGGCAGCTTTTTCATGTTGAACTCTTTCACTTAGTGCTGTGATGTGCTCTTGAGATTTCCTGCATTGCTCCTCATTGCCTCTTCATACTAAAAACATTCCATTGTCTGGATGTTGGCGCTGCAGCCTATTCATTCACCTACCAAAAGACGTCCTGGCTGTGTCTAAGTTTTGACAATACTGATAAAACTGTTTTGTAAGCATCTTTGTGCAGGCTTTTGTGTGGACGGAAGTTTCCTGCTCATTTGGGTAAATACCAAAGAGCCCAGTTGCCACGTCACATGGTGAAAGTAAGCTTAGTTTTGTGAGAAACCACCCAACTACATTGCACAGTTTGTATTCCCATCAGCAGTGAGTGAAAAGTTCTTGTTCTTTCTCTTATCAGGATTTGGTGGTGGTAGTGTTTGGGATTTTGACCATTTTAATGGCTGAGTGACATCTTGTGGTTGCTTCAGTTTGCAGTTTTCTGATGACTTACAACATTGACCATTTTTTCATGCTTATTTGCCATCTCTACATATTCTTTAGTGAGGTGGCTAAGTCTTCTGCCCATATTTTAATAAAATGGTCTACTTATTCTTGAATTTTAAGAACACTATATGGTTTGGATGATAGTCTTTTTTTTTTTTTTTGACATTCTTTTGCAAATAAAAACTTTTAATTATAGCGTGTCTTGTCTGTTTTTTTCTTTCCCTGCACTTGCCAAAGCAGGTGCTTAGTCCACTGAGTGTCTCGCTGGCTGAGGGTCTCGCTGGCCCTCTTCATTTCTTCTTAATAAATTAAAATTCGTCTCTAGTTTGTTGATGCTGATAACTGGAGAGACTATTTGCAGTTTTTGCCAGATTGATGATATGAACAAGGACATAATTCAGTGTTCCCAACGTGTTAACTTGTTTACATTTGCACTGGCAAAGTAAATCCTTCTGTATCTTTGCAGTTTATCCAAGACTTTAAAGGATACAGTTTTAGAAGTGGAACGTAGAGGAAAAGATTTGTGCATCTAAAACTGCATTGCTATCATTAATTGCCCCCCGAAGAGATCATACCTGTTGATTCTTCAGTACCTTCACCCATATTGAGTATCATCAAGCTTTTTAATCTTTATTAATCTTGTCGATTAGAGGAGGCACAGATCTTCTACAAGGCCCATATAGGAAATATTTTTAGACTTTCATCTCTGCTCCAATTCTACAACCCAGCTACAACTGGTCAAACGTAGTTGTAGGAGATACGTATATGGTAAGTGTTGATGGGTCCCAAGAAAATGTATAAATACCAATAAATTTGTTGATGATGATGGTTGTGGTGATAAAGCAGCCCATAGTGGGCTGGATTTGGTCAGAGCTGTAGTTTGCTGTATCTTGTCGTAGGTTAAAAAAAACGTTTCCTTGTTGTAGTCTGCATTTCTCTTGCTGTGTGAGTGAGATGAGCATTTTTCTTCACAAAACTTACTTGGGCTCGTTGTAGATGCTTCGGGTGTGGGGAGTAAGAAAGATGTGTCCTAAACAAGTACGCAAATGTATGAATTACTAGCTAGATGAAAACAAATGAATTACTAGCTCTGATAAATTGTCTGATGAAAAGGAACTAGGGTGTAGAAACTAGGGTTTAGGGTGGCAACTATTTTAGTGAAGGAGAAGAACTAAGGGATATGGCAGCTGGTTCATATGAGAAGGAGCTAGCCAGGGGTGCTAGCTGTGGACTACTGTATAACAATTACGTCAAAATTTAGTGGCTTACATCTACACATTATTTATTATGTCATAGTTTCTGAGGATCAAGGAATCTGGGAGTGGCTGAGCGAGGTAGTCCCAACTCAGGATCTCTGCTGAGATTTCAGTCACGGTGTTGACCAGGTTGCAGTCCTTTTACGACTCCCTGGGATGGGAGATTTGCTGCCGTGCTTGCTGACGGAAGCCACATTGCCTTTCCACTCAGGCCTTTCTGTGTGGCTCCCAGGGTGAGTCACGGCCCTGGAGGTGGCTTTTCCTGGGCAAGCAATCCCTGAGAGCAGGAGGAAGCTGCGGAAATCACCTAGACCATCACAGCTTTCTTTGGTGCAGTGAGCGTTAAAGACCTAATGTGTGTTTGTACGTGTGTAACTGCAAATATACACGTAATAAAAGACTAGAATAATATAGACTAGGGTGTTAATGGTTTTCTCTGCACAGTACAACTTAGGATAATTCACGTGTTTAGTTCTTTGCAATCTTTATCTTTTAGGTACCAGGGATATGGAAATGAATGAATAGTACTCTATTATTAGGGAGCTTTTATGCTTCATTGTCTAATGGGGGTAAAGGATGAGTAGGTTTATTAGTTATAAAGCAATGAGAATCCCTTGGGAACCAAAGGAGAAACATCTTAATTCACACTAGGGTACCAAGAAACGATAATCCTTGAGAGATGATTGGTTAGTATGCAGTTAGCTAAAGGTGTGAAGGAGTGTGATCCTCCTGCCGCAGCCTCCCCAGTAGCTGGGACTGTAGTGTTTTAAGTTTTAATTTACACATAATATGCTTACAGGATACAGTGTGATATTTAGATATATACATTGTATAATGATTACTTCAGGGTAGTTAGTATATCCAGCACCACTTTGTGGGATAACACTCAAATCCTCTCTTCTACCTTGAAGTAGCCCTTCTCCCTCCTTAGCTCGAGGCCCTCCAGTGTGTAATAGACAGTAATGCATATAGGTATCGCTACAGGTGGGCTGGGCTGAATATTCCCCAAGGCCCGAGTGCTAAAGGTTTGTCCCTCGGGGTGGTGCTACTGGGAAGGCGAGGCACCTTTAGAAATGGGGCCCTAGGCCTCGGAGGCTTGCCCTTGAAGGGCTTTGGGACACTGGCCTGCCTGGCTCTTCACTCCTGGGTCGGGAAGCGAGTGCTTTTGCTCCCCCAGCTGCTTCGCTGCTGCCCTGAGGTGCACTGCCTGCCACGGATGGGCCGGCTCCAGACAGCGGGCTGTTGGTCGTTGGCTGAAAATCCCAAACTGTGAGCCTGGAAAAACCCTTTCTCTTTCTCAGTTGGTTTTTTTGGTTTTTTCAGATACAGTATTTTTAAATGTTTTTGAGTCATTCTTAAATTGGTAGGATTTGGAGTTGGTAGTAAAAGAATTTTTTATTGCATAGAAACTAGAGGGATAGGTACTATAAATACAGTTTGTATCTTATTTGCCTTTTAAGAATGTTTCATTTGGGGGACACATTATTACTGCTGCAGACATTAAAACTAAATATATATACATAGCAAAATATATATATATATATATATTGTATCTAACTGTATATTCTGTTTTTAATCTTTTGCTTTGTTGTGTGAGGCATTTGATACTTTTTATTTTGATGAAAACATTTAGGGCCAGCTAAAAAGCTCAGTGAATTAAAGTGCCTGCTTAGGCAGAAGCAGGGGACGGAGTTTGATCCCCTGGGCCTCCCATGCCAGCCCTGCCCCCAGAGCATGCTGAGACTGGGATTGAGATTGGGGATTGAGACTGGGTGCATGCCTGTAATCCCAGTGTTTAGGAGGCTGTAAACAGGTGGATCACGAGAGTCTGATTTACGCAGTGAGAACCTGTAGACCCTGTCCTAAAATACAAACACAAACAAACAAACAAAAGTTTAGTCTGTCCCATTTACTTAATTTTTAAACTTAATAAATTTTGGGGGATTCTATGTCGCCTATAATTTTAAAAATTATTTTGGAGCCTTTTCTTCCCTAGTTTTAGTTAAAGATTCTATTATTTGAATTAAATTTTAAGAAAGGATCCATATAATAATTTTTCTAAGAAGAAATTTGATTATGTAATTCTGTGAAAAATACTTAAACAAATAGTCATATGTAATATTTTTCTCTTTCAGCCTTTCTCAGAAAAGTCTACAGTATCCTGTCTCTGCAGGTTCTGTTAACTGCAGTAACCTCTACAGTGTTCCTGTACTTTGAGTCTGTACGAACATTTGTGCAGGAAAGGTAAGGCAATGAGATAATTCTGAATTATTTTCAGATACATATGACTAGAAGGGAACTTTTACATATGTAAAAGTTCTTTATTTTTCCTGCTCACTTCTGAGGGGAAATGTAAAAAAAAGTCATTATGTAATTCCTATAAGTTAAGTTGGTTTTGGTTTTAATTTCGATAAAGGAAAATGTTCCACAGCAGGGTGTGTTATCTTTTTATAGTTCCTTAGCAATAAGCCTTACCTCCTGAAAGAATAGTAAGAATTTTTACTGCATGTAATTTAATTCTTAGTTATTTTTATACAATGTTAGACTGTTTACTCTGATCCCAAAGCCTACAACAGTACTAAGGAAAAAGAAAAAAGTCACTTAATAAATGTGTGCTTATTTTAGTTTTATGTGGTGCATAGGTTATTTCACTGAGAAGTTTCCAAAAAGGGTCCTATTGATCTGTCCTTAATAAAGATTTTATCTTCAACATAATTAGTTCTGTGGCTAAAAAGAATGTTTCTTTATATTAAAAGAAAGGGTAAATAGAGAGTATTTTCTTAAAAGTAAAAAAATTCTGTCTTTCCTCCCTTACCAAAGAAGTCTTAAGCTATTCACTGTTAGGGGCAAATAATTTAAAATATAGTTATGGGCATGGGGGCGCACACCTGTACTCCCAGCACTTGGGAGGCTCTAAACAGGAGAATCACTACGAGTCCTTTCTAGTAGTAAGACTCTGAACAGCCTGTAGTTCCTTCCCACCCCCCCAAAAAAAAAATATATATACATATATATAGTCATATGGTAAATACCGTAAAAAATGGTTATGTGTAAGATTTGTTAATTGTTTAGTATCTTTTAGTTATTACATTTTAGTTATAAAAGTATTCCAGTAATTACAAACATTACTCAAATATAATAGAAATTCATGAAAGAACAAAGACATTTCTCCGTTATCGCAGGCTCTTTTCTTTGTGCTGCCGATCTTCCTCACCTTGCATGCCCAGATTTTCCAGGTATAAAAGTATTTCTCTTGATAGTTTGGTGTGCATCATTTTAGATGTTTTCTTACACTTTTATGAGTGCAAAAAGTGGATATACTTTAGTAAATTGGATACCATTATTCATGCTATTTTCGAACTTGAATGTTTTGATATTCTGTCTTTCAGTCCTGCCTTAATTTTGGTGTCGGCCCTCGGAGCTTTGGGTCTGATTTTTGCGCTCATTTTATACAGACATAAACATCCACTTAACCTGTACCTGCTTTTTAGCTTTGTGAGTATTTTGACAATGTATATTCTTTTAACATTTAGCCTGGCTTTTCAAAATGCTTATGAAATTGAACGGTAAACAAAATTGAGTTTTCTATTAAATTAGAGTATTTTAGGAAATTATTTGTAACTTTGTAGTCTTTTAGAATTTTTAAAGGTCTGTTAATTTCTATAGAGTTTCTATTAATCTTAGGATTCAGTAGGAGAAAATGCTGAGTTGGAATCTGGTTACGTGATACATAGCAAAGCATTTAGCTTTTCTGTACCTAATTTTTCTCATAGGCCAAATGAAAATATTAAGATAGATAATCCCTGTGATACTTTCTACCTCCCATATTCTCAATGAGGGGAGTTAGTGTCCTAATTTCATGAAACAAATTCTTTTTCTTATTTTGTTTTATTTTTGTGACACTAGAGATAAAACCTAAGACCTTTGTAGTGAGCTATCCCCACAGCTCTCTTTATATTTTTTGTTGTGAGACAGGGCCTCACTAAGTCACTGAGTTTCTCAGCTGCGTTTGAAATTTTGAAGCTCGTGCCCTAGCCTCCCAAGTCCTGGCTTTACAGGCATGTGCCACCCTTCCTGGCATGAAGAACTTGACTTTAGATTTGTTGAGATAGTTGTCAAAATTAAAACTTCACCTGTCACTTATAAAAATTAAGTCTTTGAGTAAGATTGGTAAGACTCGCCATATTTTTACATCATTGTATATGACTTTGGGTGCTAAAATGAAAATTTACTTCCAAACATTCCAGACTAATATTTCCAGTCAAGAAAGCAGAAAGTTTGTGAATTCTTTTAATATTTTTATTAGTACATTTTTATAGTACATAATTTTACTCATGGGGAGTTGATACATATACATAACAGATCTTGATTCTTTTTTCACCCTTTCCTCCCTGCTCCTCCCATCTCTGGTTACCTTCCCTTTAGCAAAAGACTCATTCTGCTTCTTATTATCTATCTTTTATTTTGCTCTTTATATTTGGGGTTTCATTTAACACAGTGGTCTCAAGGTACACCCATTTTCCTGCAAATGACTCAAGTTTGTACTTTTTATGGTATGGTGATACTCCATTGTGTATAAATACCACATTTTCTTTATCTATTCATCTGTTAGTGGGTGTATGAAAGTCTGTGAATTCCTACAATGAGTTTGTTAATATGATGAAAGAAAAGCTCAGGACTTTGGAAATGCCAGTTATAGGAGACATTATTCAATTCAGTCTTAAGCTCTTATGTTTATAAGTTTGTCAACTCTAACCCAAGTCATCTCAAGCAACACGGAGGTCATTTGTGGGTATAGGAGCTTGGTAACTCACCAGTCTAAACCCAACAGCTCTTAAGAAGAGGTGCTACAGGAAGGACCTGGAAATGATGCTAGTGCAGGATACTCCGGGCAGGCACGCATGGTGTCTTCCCTCTTGTTCCATTATCCCTCTTCTCTGTCTCACAACTGTCCTTGCACATTGTTTTCTTTTTCTTTTCCATTTTTTTTTTTCTTTTTGTATTTTAGGGAAGGGTCTACAGGGTGTTCAGGGTCTTACTACTAGATAGGACTCGTGATCCACCTGTTCACAACCTCCCCAGAGCTGGGATTACAGGCACGTGCCACTACACCCAGTCTTAATTGCTGTCTCAGTGAGCCCCAGGGGTGGGGCCGAGCCCCAGGGCAGGCACTTTAATCCGCTAAGCTATTTGGCTGGCTCTTTTCTATCTTTAATTTTGTAGCCCTGTTGTTGGCTTCCATATATTTGCCTTTCAACTTTAGCTTCCACTGCCTCACTTGTTTCTCTTGATTTCACTCTCCTAAGTGAGAAATAATCTTACTGGTGTAGGTCACATTGTAGATTGCTAACCAGTGCATGGGTTGCCAGTTCTTGGGTCAGATTTCAGTTCTTGGGGATTCCCACTAAACTACAGCAGTCAGCTCTGCCAGGAAAGCTGATTAAGACATAAAGAAGAGGATCGTGTTCATTTGTTCTTCAAATCTTCATAGAGCCTCCTTTAAGAAAGACTGAGTTCTACATGGGAAGAGTTTCTGGGACAGTTATTGCCCAACAGGGCTGGCCTTACTAGAAAAGTATTAGCCAAATTCTTTTTAGATAAAATGATCATTTATTGCTAAACCTATTCATTGTGCTGATAACATAGTTTAACAATAAAGTATGTGAAATACATTTCTTCAGATTAGTCTACTACTTGTGACATAGATCACTGATAAAATGACAATGACTTAAACAAGATCGTTTATTTCTCTTTAAGAATCTGCCTAACTGATGAAATTATTAAGGGCCCAGGCTCCTGCTATGGTTGAGGTGTTCTTCTTCTTCTTCTTTTTTTTTTTTTTTGTGGAACCGGGGATTGAACTCAGCCCCTTATGCTTGCCAGGGAAGCGCTTATTCCACTGAGCCATCTCCCCAGCCCCAGTTGAGGTGTTCTTAATGTGTGGCATGATATAAGATAGCTCACTACCGTATCCATATGGTATCCAGTTACCAGTAAGAAAAAAAGAAAATACAGAAAAAGTGGGGAGAGCAAACTTTATGCTTTTAGAACACAATCTAGAAGCTGTACAGTTCTCACGTTAAATTGGCTAGGATATAGTTACATGATTGGACCTAGCTACAAGGGTGAATAAAAAAATGTAGTGTTTAATTTGCATAGTCAGGTATCCAGGTAAAAATTCTTTTACTAAGGAAGAAAGTAAAAGTGAGTATTGACAGTTTTAAGACTTCCACATCAAAGTACTACCTAATTATGTTTTCTTCTACATGTTTGACATATTGAAGTTTTTATAAGTGATTTTCAGTATCATTTTTATGTACACTAAGAATGAGAAAATAGAATTTTCTATGCAATTTCTACTATATAGTCTTCCTTTCTACTGTGTAGCCTTTGTATTCTTACAGATATGAAAAGTCTGATCAGACCATAAACAGTGATAAAACCAAAAACAGAATTTAAATATACTCACTTAGTGTGTTGAAGTGGGCTTAATAAAGTGTCCCATATGTGTGACAGGGATGCTATGAAGGTAAAATGAGATCATTCATAGGGCATCACTTTGACCTACTAGAAGTTAGGAAATAGACATGAGATGTGGCACTTTACATGTGAGATAGTGTACATTTTATATACATTAATTTCAATTTCCTTTTTGTAGACACTTCTGGAAGCTCTGACTGTGGCAGTTACAGGTAAGCCATAACTGTGCTTCTATATGTTACAATAACTTTGGTATGGATAAATTTTTAGGTAAAAAGGTGTTTGGGATTATACTTCAACATCATTCAATGTCCTATTTTAAAAATATGGCATAGGATAACAATTGCCTAAAAATAAATAAAAGTTAAATATACTTTACATAGTAAAGCTGAGCTTACATAAGTGGAGTAGTTTAAGGAAAATGAAAGAAATGGAGAATGATATTTCATTTCTTTTTACTTATTTATAAAACTAAGCCCACTATAGCTAATCATTTCCCTGATTTAAAGGGATCTTGGAGGAATTAAGACTTATGTGTTTTGAGCTATGTACATGAAATTAGCCCCTTCAGAATTGCCTATGCTTTCCCGCTGTATCTTTGTTTTTTACTGATGGCACTACAAGAAACAATGGTAATTTCTGTTTCTTTTATATTAAATACATGTTTGAAGGCCTGAAGTCTGTCTTCATTATTTGAATTACCCTTTGTAATACCTCATAAATTTCAGTAAATTAACAAGATTTATTACTGTCTCTAACTGGTAAAGAATGTATACTAAACAGGCCAGTGTTAACTATTACCCTAAGTAGCAGCACATTTTGTTAATAATTACAGCTAATACTTATTTCTTCCAATTTTGCCATTACTATTTTTTAACCTTTTAATGCCAATTTTTATCATTCTGTTTTTTCTTTGGCAGGCTACTACTTTTTAAAAGAGTCAGAATATAAATCAATAGAAAGACTAATATAAGTAGAATGGAAACTTGTCAGCATAGACAGGAAGTATTATTGATGTCTTAGCTTATGTGTATCAGTGTCGCCATCAATTAGTAGTTCTTACTGTTAATGTTGTGAAGGCCATCTTGTCCCCTCCCTGGTGTTCACCACGTGGAAAGAGGAGATAGATTTAGATGAGGTTTGTTGGAATTGGTGTGGGGTGGGATGATCTAGAACATTATTTTCCTCTCTAATTTGTAATATTTTTCCCTCTTAATTGTATAATAAAATTATTAACAAGAGAAATAATGTGGATAATTAGTTCTTGAAAATTTGGAAGTTACTTAAGTGTTTGGGTTTAAAGTCCTTAATCTCCTTTAAAGAAGCTATAATTTAGCACTTGTTAAAGTCATAGTCAGCCTGTATGATCATTCTGAAATTAGAAAAGAGAATTTGGTACAAACTCAGCAGACCTCATAATGTATTCCAAGATAAGGCAGATTTAGATAGATGTGGAGCAGTTAGTGATTGTTTTATGTCCTCTGTCTGGTGCATAGATGGCAGCCCACCCCTGGAAAGTCCCCCCGCATTTCCCTTGTTCAGTTCCCTTGAGTTGGGCTAATAAACGGCGCAGTGAACCGGATGATTGCTAATGTTGCTGCTACTGTGTAGGAATTCCCAACTAGAGGACCCTGAGTCATCTCTCCTGATGGCTAAGCCATAGAGAACAGTCATCAAAGATGATGACAAGCTGCAATGGGGACAGAAATGACTAGAATTGTTCTAATCATATCCCTAAAACTCCTAACTAGTTAGCTATGTAATAACTCCATAATCATTAACTTCATGGGAATGTGGCCCCTTTGTTTTGTGTAAATGAATTTTTGGAGCCTGTTTATAGCATTTAAGGATGTGATTTTACTATACCAATATATTCAAGGCTGGATGAAGAATCTTAATTGTTTTTATTGGTGAGTAGTACAGGAGAAAATACAGCACTTCCATCAAATGCATTTCTACTGAAGGCTGTTTTGTACAGAATGTTTACATATAATTTTAATCAATGTTTTAATTTTACAGTTACCTTCTATGATATGTATGTTATTCTGCAAGCTTTTATACTGACTGCTGCTGTATTTCTTGGTTTGACTG